TGTGAAGTGTTCCAAAAATATATATATGGAAAATGGAAAAATATATATATGCATGCTACTCTCAATGAGTATAGGAGATTGACTTTAATTTGAAGAGTTAGAAAAAGGATGTTCAAGGTAAGAACTGCAAGACAAGTCATTTCACTTGTGCAAAGTAGAGGGAAAAATATTTTAAGTAGCAGGAGAAGCATGAGTGAACAGCAAGGAGAAGGAAAGCAAGGATTCAGTTAACAAAATGAAAGGTGAACAGCATTCGTGGGATACAGGGATGGAGGATGGTAAAAAAGATATGACTAGAGAAGCTGGCAGGGAGCAGGTCATGATGGGTTTGGTAGGTTACCATTAGGGTTAGGGATTTTATTGTAACTATCAAGGAAACCTGCGAAGGTCGGCCGGCAGACCGCAGGCTGTCAGGCACGTGACGCGGGGGGCCTCGGCCTCGCCGTCCCCGCGTGGGCGTCCGGCCGCATCTTGCCGGGGAGCCACGCTCGCGCGTGGCGGGAGTTTCGCGCGGGGGGCGAGCCCTGAGCCGCACGCGCTCCTGCCCCTCCGCCTCAAGTCACAGGACGGGGAGCCGCAAACTTCGCACCAGGACAAAAAGGGGGGGGAGCCAAGCCATCTTTTGGGGGTGGATGTTTGCTTTTTGCACTTGAGTTCCTGGCACGCCAAGTCCCCGTTCGCCAGCCCTGTAAGTTTTTCATTCAGCATTCCCCCTGATAGGCCCTGCATGCTCTCAAGACAGACTTTCCCAAATCACTTTTCAGGATAGAAATTAAGTTCCGTAATCCCACGCGTCCTTAATAGCAAGCGTGTCTTATCCGCTCTAGGCAACATACGCTATTTTAACGTGTGTTTTGACCAAAAAGAAAGAAAGAAACACTCACAAACACACACGTTCTGCAAACCTGGTACTGCTAGATGTGCCGGTACACACACGAAATGCATGCACACACTTTTTCCCATTGGCAGTCATTTAATAGGTTGTTCCTTTTGTTTGATAAGGCATCGGGATCGACATCCTAAAAGCCAAATTCAATTACAAACAGTTTATTCTGACAGCAAATTGTAACGTTACCTTAAATGGCCACAAATATTCTCACAATATTCCAAGGAAAGAGACTTTAAAAAGAGAGACAAAAATCTTCTGCAAGTACTTAGTATCTCACATGTGCAACCCCAAAAAAGTATCTTAAGTGGTACTCAGTCCTGTTCCAGGGGATATCCACAGATTACAAGATTATGCACCTGGCTCTGGCTTTTGCCTTTTCCACCATACCACGGCAGCAAAATTCCCTCCCCCCAAAAAAGAAATCATCCACCAAAAAAAAAAAAAAAAAAAAGCCAACAACTTTTTCTTATTTGTAAAAAAAAAAAAAAAAAAAATCAACACAGCATAGTTATATTTTTCCTCAAACCAATCTCGCGGGTGGTTGGTTTTTTTCTCTTCTCCTCTCACAAAGTCTTAAACTTGTTCCAAGTTTAGAGGCGTCTCATCCTCCTCCTCCTCCTCCTCCTCCTCACCACCGCGGACTCCCCCGCGGAGTCACATTGATAATAATAGGTTTCCCTGAAAGATACATTGTAATCCATTCACATCCGGGAACCGCGGGCTCGGAGAGAGAAGGCGCTGCGGCCGCGGCGGCTCCGCCAGACAATGACTGGGGAGGGGCGGGG